TTTGGCAACAATATGTGCCTGAATCATTTCCTGGATCGATGAATGTAAATAATTATGCATTATTTGCATTTGATGCAACATGGACATTAATTCAATCATTACAACAATTGTGTGCATCAAAAATAAACATTTCTTCTTCATGTTTATCGTTTATTGGATCTTCATACTGTTTTGATCGTCGTTTCATTATTATTATCAGATGCAGTTAGTAGAACAGAATTTCTTGGTGTATCTCGTCCTATACAATTTAGTTTTAATGTAACAGATCGAATAACTGGTTTGTATTATTCTGCAAAAAATGCTCAACCTTCTTCGAATGGTTTGAGTTTTGTTCCTGTATTAGAATATTTTCATCCTAGTGATTGGAGAATACCTACAAAAGAAAACATTATAATATGGTCTGGCAATTCATTAACACAACCTATTGGTGGAGCCATTCTCAAAGGTGTAAATTTACGAATAGGTATTATTGAATCAGTTCCATTTACAATCGTTGAAAAAGTCATAGATGCATCTGGACAAACTACAATACAATATAGTGGCTATATTCATGATCTTATTAAACTTTTACAAAGTAACATGGGATTTATTCCAACTATTGAATTAGCACCATCAAATCAAACATATAATGGATGATTAGTTCGAGCAGTACATAACGGTGTTTATGATATAGTGATAGGTGATGTGACTGTTACTGCTGCACGAAGAGAATTAGTCGATTTTTTTCATTGCTATATTTGATAATTCTTTGCGTATTATTATTCAAAAAACATCCGATGTTAATATCGATCTGTTCTCATTCTTAAAACCATTTTCACGTAATCTCTGGTTATTAGTCCTAGGTACTTTAATCTATGCTGGTATTTTGATATATATATAAAACACTCAACTCAAAAAAAAAAATAAGAAGATACAGCTTAATTTTACAAAAAATTAATATAAAAAATTTAACACCAGTTTTTTAATATATTAATAAAATGTTTTTTTGTTAGACATTATTCATTGTTAAAGTTTTTGTTCGATCAATTCTAAAATACCAAAAGAGACGAAATCTATAAATTAATCTAGAAAAGAAATATTTATTTTCATTAAAATTACACTAGAAAACATTGAATATGTATAAAAATGACATACTAAACTTCAGATAATCAGTGTTGTCGATTCCATCATGGTCTCATCGCTAACCTCTAAAATGAATACTCATTAGTTGTACACGCTGACATGGAAAATATCTGACATCACCATGAAATGACTCATATCTAAGTGTTTCATTGGTCGTAATACTACTAGAACTAAATATTTGGAATCTACGTCATCATTACTGGTGTTTATTCTCTAACGACTTGAAATAAATAATAATATCTCATTTCACTAATTCATCTCTCCGACTTATACTTACGAGAAAAAAAACTAATATATATTACAGAGTGTAACTGAAAATAAAATATGGGCAATGATATTAGTAGTGCAATTACAATTGATGTTGATCGAAATAATTTGTTTTATTATTCTGGTGAAACTGTATCTGGAATAGTTAGATTAAATATTACAGAAGAAAATCTAGAAATACGTGAAATATACATAAGTCTGATTGGTGAAATTAGTTATAGAACAGTTGGAACTGGTGGGGGTGGATTTAGATCTACATCAGCAAATAAATATAAGATTCGATTTTATTATAAAAAACTTAGTTTATCTGGATCTAATATAACACAACAAGAATTTATTCGTGATCGTGGACGTTATGCATGGTTATTTCAAATTCGATTAAATGATAATCTTCCACCAACTATTAATCAATCTAATATATTTCCACGTATTCGATATTTTTTACAATTTGTTATTGATAAATCATACTATACATCAAATATAAAATATAAAAAATATTTAACAGTATATCCACGTGTTAATTTATTAGAAAATCCTCAATGTTTATTACCATCTATATTCGAATTAGAAAATAGAAAATATATTGAATTAAAGGCAACTTTTAATAAATTAGGATATGTTTTTGGTGAAAATATTCAATTTACATTAGAAATTCATAATCCACGAAAAATTTTAATTCTACATAGTAAACTTTCAATATTAAAATATTATCAAATTCAAAAAGAATTCGATGGATTTATTGTATATAAAACTATATTACCAGAAATTGTAAATTTAACAAATGAACATATAATGGAAAGATTTTCAATAAAAATTCCTTCTATACAATCTCCTCCTTCATATAAATTTCAAGGAGAAAACCCAAAAATTTTCGTTCATATTTATTATAGGCTTAAACTTACAGTTAAAGTTAGAGGAATATTTACTAATTTTCATATTAATGTTCCAATTACACTAGGAACTGAACCAAATTCTGATTTAAGTCAACAACAATCATTTAATCCTTTAAGTATATCTTATTCTTCAAATCGTGAACAATCAATATTTAATGATGATGATCCACCACCTGACTATGATACTGTTATGCAAAGTTTACAATAAAATTTTTTTTCTCATTTGTAGAAATGTTCAATATATATATATATACCATTTATCCATGTATTTTTTCATCTTATTAATAAAAACTTCGTAGAAGGTCATGTATTGTGATATACATTGTATATCTCAAAGTACACATACATAGAGACACAAAAGAAAGTACTATTAGTAACAAATGCAATTCTTTTTTAAGAAGAATAGAAAAGTTGAATTTTGTGTTTTTATTCTTTAGGTGAAATACAAAAACACTTAACTTTTAATTATATTTATTAAATAATATCAATAATTCGATATTTTATTAATGCATCGAACATTTATTTTCCATCACTAATAGCATCAAATTAATATTCTTGACGATGTCACGTACAAATTATAGAAAAAAAAAGGAAATATTATTATCAATGTTTACTTAATCAAATAGATGAGCAAAATTCTTCGTTAATGACATGATTTTCCAAATTTGTAATGCGCATATCTTGGAATAATGAACTTTCCAAGAGCTAATTATGTATACTAAGTTACTCTATACATCCTGAAAAAATTAGCCTTAAAGATCTTTGTTCAGAGGAATTATCACTAAAAAAACTAGCGCTAGCGATGTCACTGAAAACAGGACATTGACTTTCACATCATACAGTTCGGTTTAGAAAAACTTTAAAAGTAATGCAAAATTTTTGAAAATTAAATGCTACAGTTTGTAGACAATTCCTAAAGCTACAGAATCTCTATCTACAGTTTTCTGTGAGCATGCTTAGACTTTTCAAAAAATTCGATTTATTCTTCGTTGGCGACGTAATGGAGTACAAATATATAAACGAAAAGTTTCTCTTATGACTGAATGAAAAGTTCAAAAACAATTCTAAACGGTACAAATTCTTCTTCACGATCTTTACATTATCATAAGACAAAAATTTTTGTTTCAGAATTTTATAGGACGTTTAAAGAGTCAATTTTTTTTTATATGAGGAAAATTTTTTAAGTCCAATCTTGTTAAACATTTCACCATAGGTGCGGTTCGGACCTCTTTAATAAATCAAAGTCAAATAAAAGAGGAGTATATCCTATATTGTTTGATTTAGTCGATATATAAGTCATTGTTGAAAAAAATATTAAAGTTAAGTTTATTCTTTTATCATATATTTCATTTCATGAAATTTATATTCACATATTATATGAGAAAGAAAATAATTAAAATTATTAATTGTGATTAACAATTTTCAAATTGAAAGCAATTAATCAAGAAGATATATTATATAACGAATTAATGATTATCAATGGAAATGTTAAACAAATTTTCAAATTCTATTTTATCAAACATCAATTAATATTTACACAATTTGAAAAATTTATTCAAAATGATTTTGTTCAACAATTTGTTTATTAATAAAAAATATTGAATATAATCATTTTCATTTAATATATAATAAGATAAGAATTCTTCTTTTGTTCATCATATTTTGATGAGAATAAAAATAATTTTATTTTAATGAACAAACTATGTTAGCTATGTCAAATATCAATTTGAAGAGAATCGAACATTTTTTTAAAGATATATTTATTTTTCCTCATGATTTTATGAGATTATTTTTATTAAAAAATCTTTTTATTTAATGTTGATCTTTGTTTTGTTTTATTTCATCAAAAAATTGACAAAAAAATCAGTTTGTCTTGATTAAAAATTATTTGATTTAACTATAAAAACAATTAAAAAACATTTTTACTAAATGATAGATGCATATATGAAATATTTGTTTTATTGTCGAATATTTATTAAATTAATATTTTTATTTAATGAAATAGTTTATATTCTATATCACAGTGAAACATTTTACGATTTAAATTCGATTAAAATTTTAAAATCCTACGAATCTGATTGAAATTGAAAATCGAATAATTTTGATCATGATTGATTAAAATTTAATCGTAATCAATTTGAATTCTAATTTAATTGCATACCATTTAGATCATCAGTTTTATTAAAACTGCATATGACTCAATCACCGTCATCAATGATCGACTGATTATTGGTCAGATGGAAGCATCCGATTCGACTGTACACAAAGCACTGCTGCAAGCCTTTATTTCTATCTAACTTCTTCGTTAATATCTAATTTCATATGCATACATTTAATTTCTTAAATCTATATTGAACTCTCTTAATTTAAAGCCATACTAATTTTCAATAAACTTTTCAAGTGCTGATCTTGAGAGTGAACAGTGAGATGTTTTTCTATTAAACAAAAATAAGTGATTTGTCTCATCGGTGCCTCTAAGTAGTTGCATCTAACAGTGAATTATCGACAATTAGCTTCTTCAATACAATTAAAGTGCTTGGCACCTATGGGAAAACTAGCTACAAATAAAATTCGAAAAAAATGCCATAATCAGATTTTTATCGATTATTTGTATATTTTCAGAAAAAATCTACTATAGAAATAGACGTAGATACATAAATATTCGGCCTTACACATGTCTGCTTGTACTTTTACTACATGTAATCAGCAGTGGCAGAATTCTCACAAGCAGAATTTAAGAATTCTGCTCTATATATGGGCATATATAAAAGCTTTCTATTTGCATTTAAGCAGAATTCTGATTCTTTAGCAGAATTTTGTTAATATCAATATATATACTATGCCTCTAACATCATAATTCTGCTCAGAATTCTGCATTTTCAGCAGAATTCAAATAGAATTCTGAAATACTGACAGAATTTTGTGCACCTACTTTTAAATACTGAACAGAACTCTGCTTAGAATTCTTTTTTTGCAGCAGAACTCAATCAGAATTCTGAATCGCTATCAGAATTTTGAATCACTATCAGAATTTTGTATGACTCTATACACTAATCCTTGCATCTAAATCAAAATTCTGCTTAGAATTTTGTTTTTCCAGCAGAATTTAACCAGAATTCTGATTTGCTAGCAGAATTGTGCTTCAAGACATACCCTTACCTTTAGACACTAAACAGAATTATGCTTAGAACTGTGTTTTTCCAGCAGAATTTAATCAGAATTCTGAATCACTAACAGAACTTTGTATGACCTTACGCATTTATCCTTGCATCTAAATCAAAATTCTGCTTAGAATTTTGTTTTTCCAGCAGAATTTAACCAGAATTCTAGTTTCCTAGCAGAATTTTGTACGAT